GCTGTAATTATAGCATAGATACAAGACATTTGGAATAGTTGTTGTTGATTATTTGATAACTAAAGGCCCAGTGCATGAAAATTCATGCACTGGAGGAGGGGTACCTCAGCCCGGCCTACCCCCTCTCACAGTCCAGGGGCCCTTAGGGGTGGGAGGCGACCCAGTGATCAAGGGAAGGCAATGTCCCCATCACATCTCTGCTGCTGCCACTGCCAGCAGCGCAAACCTCAGCCAGCCCCGGTTACCTGAGCCCTGGTTACCTGAGAGGACTGGGGGACTCTGGTGGCAGGTGTGCGGAGCAGCCAGGCCCCCCTGGGGGTGGGCCCAGCCTTGCTGCGCCTGCCGCCTCAGCGGGGCTGAGGGGACTGGGCACCACCACCTTTGAGGGTGGGGCAGTCAATTAGCATATTCCCTCCTTATTGGCTGTGGGTGCCGCCATCTTTGAGGGCAGGGCAGTCAATTAGCATATTCCCTCCTTATTGGCTGGGGGTGCTCCCCACTCTGCGATGGTGTGAGGGTCAATTAGCATATTCCCCTTTATTAGATAGGATGTCTGTCTCTCCCCTTGAAAAAAATGTCGTCAAAGTGTGGCTTGCAGTTTTGTAAGGGAGGCGCTGTCACTGCTCCACAGCTGTTTACTCTGGAAAACAGCCGCTTTGCACCGACTCACTGAAACCTGATGGTGTTTCCCTTCGAACAGGAGGGAAGCCTCAGGCCATTCATGTTGCTCTTTTGCTCACATATCAGCTCCTTCCCAAACCACGCGTCACTCGTGGACATGCATGAAGGACACACGTGCCAGGCGAGGGTCTGGAAGCGGGCGGATGGGGCCTGCAGAGGGGCCGCCATTGCTCTGAGAGGGGTGTACAGGAGAAGCTGTGTGTGTGTGTGTGTGTGTGTGTGTGTGTGAATGAAACCAGCCAGGATGCTGAGTGAGTCCCAGCAGGCTTCCTGCTGCTAGCTGTTCAGCCTTTGGTAAGGCTTCTCTCTTCTCTCCTTTGTTTGTCAGCCCGCCCTCCTACAAGTGTGGCAGGAAGCAGAAGGCCCCAGCTCGCAGTGCTCCCCTGTGAGGCGCCTGCCGGGACCACGGAGCGGCGCAGGCCGAGGCCGGAGCGACGTGCCCCGCAGACACCGGTGCCCGTGTCAGCCCGTTGCACCGGGGCGCCCACCTGCTTTTAACTCTTTACAAAGATGTGCACATGATCCCGAGCATCGTTCCGAGATGTTGGAGGTTTGTCCTGATGCTGGACACGTCTCCCACCCGTGGGTGACAGGGACAAGAAGCCCTGCCAGTGCTCACAGCGACTCCATCGGGAACGGGGTGAGCAACCAGGGCCTGGGGAACGTGGACAGAACTCGGGACATCAGGAACCGAGGCTCAGGAACGTGTGTCCTAAGGGTTCCTGGGAGGATGACGATCCGGGGAGTCTGCAGTGAAGACACGGGACATCCGGACGGAGCCTGCGCTTTCTCTCCTCGCCTGGATCTGCGAGCCCCGCTGGGGTTGCTTGGGCCTCGCCCCACAGATCAGCACGAATCTGTGAGGCCTGGGGACCCGGCTCTTTCCTATGACATCTGGCTGGTCCTGCGATGACTCGACACTGGAGCCCTGTGTCCGTGACTGAACCAGACCCGTGGGTTAGGGTGTCCTGGGTCGTAAGGTTGGAACCACAAGGGCTATTCATCTTATATCTGTGAGTTCAGGTCTGCGGCGGCGCCCACGGTCAGGAGTGAGACACGTGGACAGTTCTCGTTCTGTCTGGACATGTTGCACTTGTTTTGGGAAGTAGCTCACATTTTAACGGAAAGGAACAGTCAGTGATCTCCGTGCTCAGAAGAATTTACAAGGACGGATGAGCACTTTAGAGCTACTGACAGGGATTGGATCTTTCTCTTTTGTTACTGGGACTTTTCAAACGAGTTGACTACAAACCTGCCAGCTTTTCCTGACCTGCTTTACATGCGCATCTGGTGCGTTTTCAGAGCCGGCGTCTGCCTTTCTGCGGGACTTTTTGACAAGTTATCTGTGTGGGCAGGCGCGTGGCACCAGAGGGAAGGGAAGACGGCGCCTCTGTGCACCGGGCGGAGTGCGTGGTGTACGCGTTGTGTGCACGGTGTGTGCACGGTGTGTGCGCGGTGTGTGCACGGTGTGTGCACAGTGTGGGAGGAAAGTGTGCGGGTGTGTGCGGGTGTGTGCAGGTGTGTGCGGGTGTGTGCACGGTGTGTGCGGGTGTGTGAGGGTGTGCTGATCGCACCAGAAGCTCCCTGAGCCCGAGAGCCCCTCAGAGCGGCTGGAATGTCCATCTCCCGGGACGCCAGCGCTCTCACCCCTTCGCCTGCCTTCTCGCATTTCCCTGCCGTGGGGTGGCTGTGGCTCATGGGTACCGTCACCTTTGAATTGTGCTTCGAGTTGATACTTTGGTTCTGATAACAATAAAATATCTTAAATTGTCAAGAAAAACCAATGTTTGCCTTTCACTTCCTTTTGTTTTGTTTTCTTTCATTTATTTATTTATTTTGGTCCTCACCTGAGGATATGCTTATTGATTTTAGAGGGAGGAAAAGGGGGAGAGAGAGAGAGAGAGAGAGAACGAACATGGATTGGTTGCCTTCTGCACATGCCCTGACCAGGAATTGAACCTGAAACCTAGGAATGTGCCCTGACTGGGAATCGAACCCACAGCCTTTCCGTGTATGGGATGATGCTCCAGCCAAACGGAGCCACACGGCCAGGGCTGCCCCTTCTCTTCCCTTTAAGCTGAGGCCCCTGAAACTATTCCCCTGTGACCGCGTGTGCACCCACCGGGGAGCCAGGCAGTGATGGAAACCAGTGAGCCGCCTCCATACATGCTTGTTGTTCCTGGCACGGGCCTGGGCACCTCCCTAACTCACAGCTGACCCAGAAGGACAGGCAGACTCCTCACTGGTCTGTGTTTCCTTCCGCTGCCCGTTAACTTCACGACACACACCTCTACCCACGGCGCCCAGAGCTGGCCCCCGGTCGGCCTCTCGTAGCAGAGTTCACCGCCAAGGACAGAGCTCGAAAACGGGCACCTCCAGGCCAGAAAGAAAGACGTGGCAGACGCGCGCCAAGCTGTCTTTCGCCGGCAAGGTAAAATCGGGTGACTGAGGAGGACTTCTCTAGGATCCCACAGGTTCCCGTCCTACATGGAACTCTTCCTTACGGGAGGGAGCGAGGTCACTTGTCTGTTAGTGTCATGCTATTAAATTGGTGGGATGGACCTAGCCGGTTTGGCTCAGTGGATAGAGCGTCGGCCTGTGGACTGAAGGGTCCCAGGTTCAATTCCGGCCAAGGGCACATGCCTGGGTTGCAGGCTCGATCCCTAGTAGGGGTCGTGCAGGAGGCAGCCAATCAATGATTCTCATCATTGATGTTTCTCTCTGTCTATCCCTCTCCCTTCCTCTCTAAAATCAATACAAATATTTAAAAAAATAAAATAAAATAAAATTGGTGGGATGAACAAAGAACGTGAAGACAGTGAAAACCCAAAAAACCAAGTCCAAGTAAGTGCCGAGTTTATTTTCAGCAAATGCCACCGCGATGTTGTTAGAGTCCAGCTTCTCCGCAGCGACGCTGAAGCGAGCCGAGGTGGCGGTGGGGCGCTGAGCGCGGCGTCTCCGTGTGATCACCGTCAGCGCCTTCCCGGCTGCCGGGTCCCCTACCACGTCCCGGCGCCTGCATCTGCCACGCGCCCCCGCCTCCCAGCCACTAACTGTTTCTCATGGTCTCCTCGATCCACCTGACAAATCTTGAGACGCGGACATAGACGCCAGGCTTGTTGGGGCGAGCACAGCCGAGACCCCAAGAAGTCACTCCTTGTAAAATGTACTTGTCCTTCTCGAAGCAGACCAGCGGCCCCCCGCTGTCGCCCTGCACAGAGGGAGGGAGGAGCCCGGTGAGGACCCACCGCAGCCTTGTATTTTGGGGGTCACCCTCCTTTTCCCAAGTGGGAGTTTTCCCAGTATCTCAACACCCCTTGGCAGCCAGAGAGGCAGGCCCTAACCTACTGTGTGGGCATCGCTGTGCCTGGCAGTCTGTTCAACAGACCCCACCGAGTGCCGTCTGCTGGGGAGCAGATGGCTGTCCTCCTCCCTCCTGCCTCCCTCCTGCCTCGGGGTTCTCTTGTGCAGAGTCACCCTAGGAGCCGCCGAGGAGAAGCTGGGGCCGCTGTCCCTCTCCCGGTCTCCTGCCTGGACGGCGACCCCGAGTCCCGCCCATGGGATCCCAGAAGGTGTGTGAGCTGTGGCAGTGCTGGTCCCTCACACTCCCTACACCCGGCTGGAGCTCAGGTCCCCACGGTCAGTCACCCTAGTTCAATGGTTCTCAACCTTCCTAATGCCGCGACCCTTTAATACAGGTCCTCGTTGTGGTGACCCCCAACCATAAAATTATTTTCGTTGCTACATCATAACGTTAATGTTGCTACTGTTATGAGTCGTCATGTAAATATCTGATATGCAGGATGTATTTTCATTGTTACAAATGGAACATAATTAAAGCATAGTGATTCATCACAAAAACAATATGTAATTATATGTGTTTTCTGATGGTCTTAGGCGACCCCTGTGAAAGGGCCGTTGGACCCCCAAAGGGGTCACGACCCACAGGTTGAGAACCGCTGCCCTAGGTGATCTGACTCCACATCGGGGCCAAGCCTGCAGGGCTGCTGGGCAACCTTCAGACCCCACACGCGGCCTGTGGGGGGCAGGTCCTCCCCAACGTTGCAGCTTTGGGGCCACAGGGTCTAAGGAGCCAAGACAGGCCACCGAGGGCGTGACCACTCTGGCCTCTTACCTGGCAGCTGTCGGCGCCCCCGGCCAAGAGCCCGGCGCAGAGCTCCGTGGACTTGACCCTGCCGTTCAGGTACTCGTAGCGGTTGCACACCTTGTTCTCGATCACGGGCAGCTGCGCCTCCTTGAGGAGGCCGGCGCCGAAGGTGCCTGTTCAGATGGAGACCGGTTACTGCATCCCGCACGTGCTCACAAGGAAAGTTCCAGAACCACCGGGCGGCGATGGGAGGTACGAGTCAGCTCCTGACCCCCTGGCTCCTGTGTCTGTTTGACTCTTGGGCGTGTGAACATGAAGTAAGCATTCCCGGTCCCAGGGCCTGGGTTGCGTGCTCTGGCTTCTGGGTTTCAGGGGGGGCGGGGCGAAAATGGCATTAGCCAAGCCCTCTCTTCTTAGTGTTACCGCAGTCCAATTACACAATTTATTACCTCTCTACCACACTAGGGAACAATCTAGCAACTATTATACTATTCAGCGGGCTTCTTAGAGTGACCTGATCTGACTTGTATTTCTTGCAAACAGCAGTCTTGTTGCTGGGATGAACAGCAAAAGGGCAAGATTTTTAAAAGGGAGGATGCTTGGATGATTATTACCCTCATCCTGTATGGGGCGGGGGGGCTGCCTTGTCGTCTTTGGTTTCTATTCTCTCTCCCTTTTTCACGATAAAGAAATGATTTTGAATTTTGTAAAGAGAGATTGAGAAACACATCACAGCTGCTGCTATTTTTGTCTATTCCCTTTCAGGCTTTTTTATGTGCTTCTTTTGCTACTGATATCGCAGTTTTATACCTCATTTTTTCCCGCATTATATAATACGGACTTGGTTACAATGTTGCAATCTTCATAACTGTTATTTTCATGGGAAGTGACTGCTTAATGGGTATGGAGTTCCTTTTCAGGGTGAGGAAAGTTTTCTGGAAATGGTGGTGCCGGTTGCACAACATTGTACATGTGCTAAATGCCACTAAATCGCGCTGGATATGTTAAGATAGTAGATTTTGTTACATGTGTTTTACCACAGCATTTCCAAAGAGAAGAGTAGCTGTCATTCACTAAGAATTAACCTTTCCAGGCCCAACCTCGGGCTGTGATGGATGCCCTTGAACCTTCCCATAGTCCCCCGGGAGGGGCATGCTGGTCAGTCCCGTTGTGCCGTGAAGGGAACTGAGGTTTATCGAGAGTGGATTTTGCCCCAGATTTCCCGGCAAGGAGCTAGTGAAGCCGGGATTTGAACCTGGTTTTGTGACGTTGTTGCCCAAATTCCCGACTACCATGCTTCCTGGCCAACGTTCCTTCCATGTTCTACATGTTTGTTCATGCGGTTTGTTCATAGTCCTTAATATTTTTAAGTCTGAGTTCCCAGGAATCTTGTAGACATATTTATGGCTTCCAAAACATTGCCAAATTATTTTTCAAAGGACATGACAGTGTAAAATGTCACTAGAAAAAGGTCACTCCCCCACACCCTCGTGGGTATTTAACATTTTAAAAAGATTTGGTGAAAGAATAGGTGGAAATGATCCTAATTCATTTCCTAATGTACATTTCTTTTACAATGAGGGAGAGTAAACGTTCTCCTGTATGCTTGTTGTACTCACTGCATTCTTTTCTGGTGAAAAACTGCCTTTTTTTTTTACTTTGGAAAATTGAAATAGAGCCCTGGCAACCGCGCCAGAGAAAAAGTGTTTCTTTCCAAACGGACACGCCCAGGGACGCCTCACAAATCCCCCAGATTTCCGATGTTGCAAGCCCAGTTTTCACTAGTTTTGCAAAAATCTTTGCTTTGCGAGCGCGGAGCGGCCAAGAGATGAGGTGCTCTCATCTGCAAAGACCTTGAGTAACTGGGAAAATTGCCTCGGGGTCAGCGAGCACACGCTGGTCTGGAGTGGAAGCAGGGAGGACAGCCCTGTGGAGGGGCCGGAGAGGAAGGCCTGGCCCGCAGCGCTGGGCAGCACCGTTGGAGTCGAGGTGTGGAACCAGGTCACTGAGTGTCCTGCTCCTGCACCTGCTTTCCAAGCGGGACAGACCTGCCCGGGCTGGTGCCACACCCACTGTGTAGGGGGATGTGGTCTGTGCGGACGCGCTGCCATCCCGTGGCCACAGGGGGAATTGCATCTCTGGGGCTGGAAGTGACTTTGGGAGCAGAGGCCCTGCTGGGGCCAGGCGAGGGGAAGCAGGGTCCCTGAGGGCCTCTGGGATGGCTGATGCGGGGCTGGCAGGAACGGCCCCTCGGCCTGAACACGGGTCTACTTTGCTTTGGAGCAGCGAAGCCAGGGAACATCTGAGGGCTGCCGGGAGAGGGGAGAATTCTGACCCCACACCGAGAGGCCGAGGCAACACAGGTTGA